GGTTATAGTGACGTGACTCCCGCGGCGATAGGTTGTGCTGGTGAGGGGAGGGCGGTGTTAACGTTTTGACTGTGGGCCACGTGTTCGGGGGAGGGGTGGGGGGCTGGTTCAGAGCCAGTGAAATTCTACTTGACAGAGCACGGACAGCCTGCAGTTGTTTCAGGCTGGGTCCACATTAGTCGATCATGCACGAAAACCAGTATAGTGTGAGTCAAGCTCTACGTGTCAATTTATACTAGCCGGTCCAAATGTACGCTTTTACTTATTCCTGCATATGTACTGGCCCGATGATGAATTTCTAAAAGCATATGTTCGCCAAATTAACTTTCATAGTTTTATTATTGTACTTGACTAAATATGAATGATCGAAAACATTCGTTCGTCTAACTTGATTTCCTTGATCAAGTTAGTCGAACCGGCCGTTGACCTTACCGTAGACCAATTTGGAACCATCAACATCAGAATATTCTAACCCTTTGTTCTCGTATAGGCGGCACGTTCCTCGTATAGCAACCACACACATGGAAGTGCAACTGCGCTCTCCTGCGTTTCAAGGAGAGCGTAACAATCCGAATGTCTATGTTTCTTTTAAAGTATTCTAAATAAGTTCAGCGATCATACTCATGTCAGCATTCGGGAAATCAAGATTGGCGAACGAAAGTTTTTCATTAATTCATCATTAGTCAAATACAATAATATAGATGGAGGTAATGTCAACAAAAGTTTAAGCACTCAATCAGCAGTTACTTGGGGGAGAGGGGGCAATTTTAAGTGGTCAAAAGGAAGGGGGGAGGAGGGACAGATCCCACAATTAGTTCATGTCACTGGGTCATCAGGTCACTGTCTAATTACTATTTCGTGGCGTGGGAACACTGGCTGCCACTATCACTGTGTGCTGATTGGTTGCTTAAAATTGTGTTAACTATGCCCTGCCTTTATGCTATTGTATTTGCCTGATGATAAATTCATCGAAAATGTTCGATCGCCTACCTTGACTTCCTGAATATTCTAAATGACTTCTTCATGCTGAAATTTTCGACCTATCTCGGGTTAACAGCATGCATGCTGCCACGCCGGCCATTATCTGTTTTTTTTAGACTGAAATTGCGTAGAGTTGTTGGCAAAACGCACAGCCAAAATGCAGGTATACTGAATACCGACAACTGGAGTAGGAGGACAAACAACGTTTCTGGCAATATGTTTCTAGTTACTAACTTTCAAAAACGCAATTCAACTTTCGAATCATAAGGCGGTGAAGAGGATGCCCCAATGCAATTCATAAGCAATAACTTGATGTTATATGCTTGCTGGTTATCTTGTTAATTGTTTCATAAATATTGGCATGCCATCAGAATTTTATACTAATTATGAACCGAGTAATTGCATAAAGGAAAGTTAGGCTGACAAGTAATGATTGCTTAAAAATGGCGAAATCTGATTCATCGCGTATAAAACGATCCCTTAAAATTTATTCGACTGACGTTCAAGTAAGACAGAAACCCAATTTTTGAAGATATTTCATAGGGCAATCATGATTCGATAGTCATTAGATGCACTTATTTATGGCACGAGTAACAAATCTTGGGGCAGCGCGAACGTTTCAATCGTGAATACGTAGTGAACGATCAAATACAACGAGATAGACAAATTAATGTCTTTAAATGATATTGTAAAACTACATATCCATTCCTGTTCATTTTTACTGTTTAGATGCCCCTGCTGGCTTCGAATATGCATGGTTTCGTCCAAGAATTCTGAAGCAACGAGTTATTTTGGATACTAAGGAACCCTTGGCCTTCAGCAGCTGTTTTCACATCTCTTTCGTGAGCTAAGTGTGCTTTCTAGAATCATTTCCAATAAACCGTCATCAAACTTAGATTAATAATACATTTAGTACTGTTATAGTTTTATTTTCGAATGCAAGTAAAGCATGGATAGGGAAGATGCATATTTTCTGCAAATTGCACAGATAGCAGTGATTCAGTCAAAGGAAATAATTTTTGGACACATAGGAAAATAATCTAAAGGTTCACAGACCTTTTGAGCGTTCAATGCATGGGCCACCTACCCGGGGCTTTGCGATGTTAATCAAAGTAGGGCTGATGAAGATGGGAGAAAGCAAATAAACAAACTTGACTAAAACTTCGAGGGAGGGCCTCACAGGTTTTTAATTTTGGGGTGCAACCGGAGGATCGATCTACAAAATAAAAGTTTGCTAGACATTTAATATTAGAAAAGTCATTCTGTGCTTTGAACAACAAATGATCATCAGTTACAAACGAGAAATATTTGAAAGAATATTTATTGGTCGGTCAAATTGGCTCAACATGTCATAATTACTACTTGCAACATGTAATCGTGAAGATATTGCCTTCTTTAGTGGAGATAAAAACACAAGATGGTTGATAGCAGCAGCATTATACAGTCCTAACTGCCTATTAAGTGCATGCTGAATTATTTTGAACGATTTAATATGCGTGAAGATTCGAGGTCCAAATATCATATCGTTTTCACCATCCCCCAAAGAAGAGGAAGAAGGAGGTACGAGGACATGGACCACTGTCCATGTCTTCGTACCTTCTACTTTCTATTCTTTGGGGGATGGTGAAAACGATTTGAACGATTTATTTTACGCCACCCATCCCAATCCTTTTAAACTATTCGGGCTTGACGTGCTATGCAGCAATTCAATGTTTACAGAAAAGAGGATATCTGTTGGTTTTTATGCTGAAACCTGTAAATGCCTTCTGAAAATAAATCTTGCACTGGAGGTTTGGGGTTAGCACACTTACTTACTTTCATTAATGTGCCTCGATGATTAATGATATAGCATACTGCAATATCATTGAAAATTCACGTGAGTATAAGCACGCATCTGCTGAGCTGACAGAATATATTTAGTCTTACATTGCAAGATGCAATTGCGTTGCTAAAATGAAGCGATGAGCTTATACAGCGGAACTTCAGTTAACGAGCTCGTCATGTGAAACATTCGTCCTGCGAAACGTAGCCAGTCAATTTGAACCATTTTACTGATTGGCCGCAGGCGACCCAGCACCCACACCGCGAGAACAAAACTCGGCAGTGAACACAGGCAAACACACACAATGACAGTTCGTTAACTGAGTGGAAGCTCTTCAATGGAAGCAAATATACCGCTAGTGGGTCGCTCGCCATCTGAAGTGCTAGTAACAGGGGCTGCTCGTCACCCAAGGCTTCGCTGAATTAATCTGATTCTCCTTTATGTTTTTATTAGATCCACTGTCGATAACTTATGCAGTGTTTTTTCTTCAAATCGAACAGAACCACAGAATGCAATTTAAGCTTTTATCATAAATAATGCTTACCCTTTCTAAGTAAGGCGCCAACCATTTCCATCGAGGCAAAATCAGATTTCGAAGGACTCCACAAAAAACCAGGAAGAAGGGTATGGCGGTTGAGGCAATCATTAGATTTTCATACTCTCCAACCACCAGAAGGATATACAGAATTACTAATTGTGCTATCCAGATTAGCGTGTATGCCATGACTTGTGGTCGTGGCATGCCATTGAGCATATTCCACTCTGACCAGTATTTCTTTCTACTAAGCAAAGCTGTCAGTAGCTTTCGAAAATGAAGGCCCTTTAGACCAAATATTCCGAGGAACAGGAACAAGCCTAACAAGGCAGCCACAGGAATGTATTGAAGGATGTTGCCCAGAAAGACAGAAAGGGTAACGAGTATACCAACAATCAAGGTATTTATCCGTGTCTCGACAAGATAGAGAACCCTGAAACAAAAAATTGAATGGCTTAAGTAAGGGCATCTGTGTGAGCAATTTTGTGTAGCATATTAAAAGTACTCATTCGTAGTCAAATAAGATGTATGTTGATAAAGATCTACTGATCTTTTAAAAAAGTAATTTTTAGATACGCCATCAGCACCGTTTGCTCTAGCATTTAAGTAGCACTATTCCTCTGCCGTAAATTCCATAGCGAATTCAAACATACTTCACTAGTTTCAACGAATGGCGACCTTATTTTATTTTCACTCTCATCTATATTATTACATATTCGCATGATTAAACTACCATTTTGATAAACTGTTTCACCGTCAAGTCTCTATCCGAGTCTACTAATCTATGCCACTGTCATTACATTGGTCTTGGTACTCGGTTGTTAATGTTACTTTACAATGAATGTTCCAAATAGTAAGTGAACGTTTACTAACTTTGGTGGTTTTCCGGGAGCTGGATTCGATTCCATCTTGGCCAGGGCAACCATGTTTGCGATTGTGCGTATTGGCACACCAGACATAATTGGCATCCCAAGGAAAAGAGCCATTATTGGGAAAACTATGTTAGCGAGGACGTGGTCCACGACGATCGGACTTGGTTTCTTTGACAGTCCTCGCAGCGGCACGATACTACACCAAATGACACAGAAATCTAGATTTATAAAACGCAAACAAGAAGAGTACGATAACAGGAAGTGCATATCGAATTCCTTCGTGTACTTCATCAGTCGTATAAAGGACTCACCCATTACATTTAGAAGCCGTTGGTTAACGTATTTGTCGTCATTTTATGCTCAGTTGATCTAATATGCTATAGGAACTGTTACTGGATTAAAGTCTGCCAATAAATTTTTAGATTCCGCGCGGAGGGTAAAAAGTAAATTCAAAAGGCTGATCTGGCGGTTGCGGAGGGGCGATCAACGTCGGGCAAAGGTAAGCGACACATTTGATACATCGAACACTTCTCAGTAGGTAAAGATGGATAAGGAAGGAATAAGTAAGCCCCTGGGTTAAAAATACATAGCTTTGCGGTTTAGTTTACTATTCCCTAGCTATTCCAAGTAAACGGGTCAGCGTTTACTGGTTCATTTCTGTAGTGAAATTTACAAAGTTGATTCATTGTGGGTTTTACAACTCAAATTCCTTTTATTTATCGAAGGCTGCTTTTTGTTTAATTTTTTAATACTATTGTTTATTTCATTGATATAAACAAGCTCTGAAGAGTAAGTCTGGTGTTTGTGTTTTGTTGCATGCATTTCGTTGCCTGTTCGCGGTGAGGCCCAACACGTAAAACCCCTCACTTACGACCACTACTGTTTTAAAAAATTGTGGGGTTAGTCTTGGTTACGTGAACTTACATAATCTATCGGGCGGCACATGGGTGAGGGCGGATGACCCGCAGAACCCCCTCATCTGCAGCTTGCGCAGGCGTGAACTCGAGTAAACCTCTCTGCATTTTCAGCTTCTACTTTCTAAGGCGAATACGAAAAATCGGTGCACATAAGTACCAATACCCTTTGATATTCGGTCTCCGGATAGCTTGCTGCCTTCGCTGGGCACCTATCTACCATATTTACTAATCACGAACTAAATCGGCAAAACAATGAGCCT